ACAGGAGGAGCCCTGAGGGGACAAAGGGACAGGAGGGGGTGTCCCCAAGGGGGTGGCAGGGGATTTGGGGGGACAGGAGGAGCCCTGAGGGGACACAGGGACAGGAGAGGACACCCCCAAGGGGGTGGCAGGGGATTTGGGGGGACAGGAGGAGCCCTGAGGGGACACAGAGACAGGAGGGGACACCCCCGAAGGGGTGGCAGAGGATTTGGGGGGACAGGAGCCCTGAGGGGACACAGGGACAGGAGGGGACACCCCCGAGGGGGTGGCAGAGGATTTGGGGGGACAGGAGGAGCCCTGAGGGGACACAGAGACAGGAGGGGACACCCCCGAAGGGGTGGCAGAGGATTTGGGGGGACAGGAGCCCTGAGGGGACACAGGGACAGGAGGGGTGTCCCCAAGGGGGTGGCAGGGGATTTGGGGGGACAGGAGGAGCCCTGAGGGGACAGAGGGGATGGGGACACGGAGGGGACAGGGGGTGACAGGAGGGGACATGCAGAAGAGCCCCCAGGGGACAAGAAGGGACATGGAAGAGCCCCTGGGGGGGGGGGACACAGAGGGACAAGGAACTGTCCTGGGGTCCTAAAAGGGGACAGGGAAAAGCCCTGGGGGTGACAAAGGGACACACAGAGGGGACAGAGGAAGATCCCCTTGGGGGGGACGAGGGGACACAGAGGGGACACGTGGGGAAGGAGACACATAGAGGGGACACAGAGGAGCCCTGGGGACACAGGAGAGCCCCGGGGGGGACAAGGAGGAGCCCCAGGGGGACAAGGGGACACACAGAGGGGACACAGAGGAGCAGTGGGGACACGGGGGATCCCTGGGGACACACAGAGGGGACACAGAGGATCCCTGGGGGGATGAGGTGACACAGGAGGATCCCTGGGGACACAGAGGTGACACAAAGGAGCAGTGGGGACACAGGGGATCCCTGGGGACACACAGAGGGGACACATGGGGAAGGGGACACACAGAGAGGACACAGAGGAGCCCCAGGATGAGGGGACACGGGGGAGCAGTGGGGACACAGGGGATCCCTGGGGGAAGACCCCAGGGGGGTGACCCAGGTGACACGGGGACGCCGGGGGGGTGACACGGGGACCCCGGGGGTCTCAAGGGTGTCCCAGGTGTCCCAGGGACCCATGGGTGACAGAAAGACCCCAGGGGGGTGACACAGGTGACAGGTGACAGAGGATCCCTGGGGACACACAGGAGAGCCCCGGGGGGGACAAGGAGACACACAGAGGGGACACAGAGGAACAGTGGGGACACAGGGGATCCCTGGGGGGATGAGGTGACACAAAGGATCCCTGGGGACACACAGAGGGGACACAGGAGAGCCCCGGGGGGGACAAGGAGACACACAGAGGGGACACAGAGGAACAGTGGGGACACAGGGGATCCCTGGGGGGATGAGGTGACACAAAGGATCCCTGGGGACACACAGAGGGGACACAGGAGAGCCCCGGGGGGGACAAGGAGACACACAGAGGGGACACAGAGGAACAGTGGGGACACAGGGGATCCCTGGGGGGATGAGGTGACACAAAGGATCCCTGGGGACACACAGAGGGGACACAGGAGAGCCCCGGGGGGGACAAGGAGACACACAGAGGGGACACAGAGGAACAGTGGGGACACAGGGGATCCCTGGGGGGATGAGGTGACACAAAGGATCCCTGGGGACACACAGAGGTGACACAGAGGAGCAGTGGGGACACACAGAGGGGAGGCAGCCCAGGAGGCCACACAGCACCGAGGTGGGTGACAATCCCTCCCCCCCCCCTGCTCACCTGCGGACGAACTTGGAGGTGAACTTGCTGAAGAGGCTGGCGGAGGGGCCGCGGCGGCCCTGGCTGGCACCCGAGGGGGAGGCGGGGGGGGGCAGGCCGGGGGGCAGGGCGGAGGGCAGGGGGGCCTGGTCCCTGGCCTGCCGGAGCTGCCCCGCGTGGAAGGTGCTGCGGCTGGAGACCCCCCGGGGGAAACTGGGGCGCTCCCCGGGGCCCTGGCTGACGTTGTGGGCAGAGGGGGACGCCGCCGGCACCTGGCTGGGCACCCCGCTGTGGGGACACAAAGAGGGAGAGGAGGGGGGGGAACAAGGGGTCAGGGTGGGGGGTGGCACCCACGGCACCCCCCCCGTCAACACAGTGCACCCCAGGGACCTGCCGGCACCCCACAGCACCCCAGGGACCCACTGGTGTCCCACTGGCACCTCGGGGACATGCCAGCACCCCAAGGACATGCCAGCACCCTGGGGACCAGCTGGCACCCTCCAGCACCCCGAGGACCCGCTCGTGTCTCACTAGCACCCCGAGGAAATGCCAGCACCCCAGGGACCTGCTGGCACCCCACAGCACCCCAGGGACCTGCTGGCACCCCACAGCACCCCAGGGACATGCCGGCACCCCAGGGACCTGCTGGTGTCCCACTGGCACCCTGAGGACCCACTGGTGTTCCAATGGCACCCTGAGGACATGCCAGCACCCTGGGGACCCGCTGGCACCTCACAACACCCCAGGGACCTGCTGGCACCCCACAGCACCCCAAGGACCCACTGGTGTCCCACTGGCACCTTGGGGACCTGCTGGTGTCCCACTGGCACCCCAGGGACATGCCAGCACCCTGGGGACCTGCTGGCACCTCACAACACCCCAGGGACCTGCTGGCACCCCACAGCACCCCAAGGACCCACTGGTGTCCCACTGGCACCCCGAGGACATGCCAGCACCCAAAGAACCCACTGGCACCCCCCAGCACCCAAGGAACTACTGGTGTCCCACTGGCACCCTGGGGACCCACTGACACCCCACAACACCCTGAGCACCCACTGGTGACCCACTGGCACCCCGGGGCCCTGGCTGACGTTGTGGGCAGAGGGGGACGCCGCCGGCACCTGGCTGGGCACCCCGCTGTGGGGACACAAAGAGGGAGAGGAGGGGGGGGAACAAGGGGTCAGGGTGGGGGGTGGCACCCACAGCACCCCCCCTGTCAACACAATGGCACCCCAGGGACCTGCCGGCACCCCACAGCACCCCAGGGACCCACTGGTGTCCCACTGGCACCCCGGGGACATGCCAGCACCCCAAGGTCATGCCAGCACCCTGGGGACCTGCTGGCACCCCACAGCACCCCAAGGTCATGCCAGCACCCTGGGGACCTGCTGGCACCCCACAGCACCCCAGGGACATGTCAGCACCCTGGGGACCCGCTGGTGTCCCACTGGCACCCCGGGGACATGCCAGCACCCTGGGGACCTGCTGGTGTCCCACTGGCACCCCAGGGACATGCCAGCACCCTGGGGACCTGCTGGTGTCCCACTGGCACCCCAGGGACATGCCAGCACCCTGGGGACCTGCTGGCACCCCACAGCACCCCAAGGACCCACTGGTACCCCGGGGACATGCCAGCACCCTGGGGACCTGCTGGCACCCCACAGCACCCAAGGACCTACTGGTGACCCACTGGTGTCCCACTGGCACCCTGGGGACATGCCAGCACCTTGGGGACCCGCTGGCACCTCACAACACCCAAGAACCTACTGGTGACCCACTGGCACCCTGGGGACCCACTGACACCCCACAGCACCCTGAGCACCCACTGGTGACCCACTGGCACCCCGGGGCCCTGGCTGATGTTGTGGGCAGAGGGGGACGCCGCCGGCACCTGGCTGGGCACCCCACTGTGGGGACACAAAGAGGGAGAGGAGGGGGGGGAACAAGGGGCCAGGGTGGGGGGTGGCACCCACGGCACCTGAGGGACACACCATGACACTCACAGCACCCAGAGTCACCCCAAATCCCTGGGGACACAGCAGGGGACACCAGCACCCAGAGTCACCCCAAAATCCCCAGGGACATGCTGGGGAGCCAGGCAGGGGGACACCAGCACCCCAAAGCTCTGGGGACACGGTGAGGGGACGTGCTGGGGAGCCAGGCAGGGGGACACCAGCACCCCAAAGCTCTGGGGACACGGTGAGGGGACGTGCTGGGGAGCCAGGCAGGGGGACACCAGCACCCAGAGTCACCCCAAAATCTCTGGGGACACAGTGGGGGACACTAGCACCCAGAGTCACCCCAAAATCCCCAGGGACATGCTGGGGAGCCAGGCAGGAGGACACCAGCACCCAGAGTCACCCCCAAATTCCTGGGGACACAGCGGGGGACACCAGCACCCAGAGTCACCCCAAAATCCCCCAGGGCACTGGGGAGCCAGGCAGGGGGACACCAGCACCCCAAAGCTCTGGGGACACGGTGAGGGGACATGCTGGGGATCCAGGCAGGGGGACACCAGCACCCAGAGTCACCCCAAAATCCCCGGGGACATGCTGGGGACACAGCGGGGGACACCAGCACCCAGAGTCACCCCAAAATCCCTGGGGACACTCTGGGGAGCCAGGCAGGGGGACACCAGCACCCAGAGTCACCCCCAAATCCCCGAGGACACGCTGGGGACACGCTGGGTGCTGCAGTGGGGTGAGAGAGGGGCACACGGGGACACCCCCCCACCACCCCCTCGCCCCAAACCCTCCCAGGGGTGTGTGTCCCCCC